CCACGAATTCTAAATGACTTACATAAATAATCTCATTTAATATCTATTTAACTCTTGCATTAAAACTATAGCTGGTAATTATTACTTTCCCCAAATTTATAGCTAAAATAACTGAAGCCTAAAGAAACTAAGTAACTCACTCTAATTCTTACAACTTGAAAGTTATAATCAGGAATTATACCTAGCTCTGAAATGCCTACTCCAAGTACCTAATTATATGACGTTTAAGGATTTCTATGTAATGGGATTTCTAGCTTCTTCTATCAGATCCTGTACTTCTAGAGAACAGGGACCATATTTTCTCTTTTTCTGTCTCCAACACACTTCAGATCATTAAAAAAAAAAACAAACAAAAAAAAACCACGAGTTTGTTGCCATGCAGTCCTTTCACAGTGGCCCATAGAACAGAGTGGAATTGCCCCACAGGCTTTCAGAAATGGTCATCTTTATGGAAGCTGGCTGCTGCATCTTTCTCCCACAGAGCAGCTGTTGGGTTAGACCTGCTGACCTCTCGGTTTTGTAGCTGAGCGCTTAACCTTCTGTGCCACCAGAGCTCCTTGTTCAGAACATGCTGCTGTTGTTATATGCCTCAAGTCGGTTCCGACTCATAGCAACCCTGTATACGGTTTCCAAGAACAGTTGGGTATACCTGAACTGCTAACCTTGCTGTTACCATTTATCCACACCAGGGCTGTGTTCAGGACAGGATGCTGTTGTTTAGTGCCGCTGAGTAGATTCTGACTCATAGCGACCCGGTATAGGGTCTTCAAGGTTTTAAATCTTTGAGGGAGAAGAAAGTTTCATCTGTCTCCAGTGGAACAGCTGGTGGGCTTGAACAATGCACCTTGTAGTTCGCAGTCCAGTGCTTATAGGGACTCGATAAATATTTGCTTCATAATGAATGAATTTGCTAAAGCATCACCTTTACTGTAGCCCCCTACTAGCTATGTCAGTAGCAGGTAATTCTACAATTGAATTGAATTGGAAGAAATTTAAAAAAAAAAATTAAGGTACACGTGTGTTCCACAGGAATCAGGTTCAGCAATGGATTTTAAAAATGGAACTGACAGGTTGGCAGTTTGGATTTTTCTAACAAGGAAGAACTTTTCATGCTGTTTTGCAAAGAAATGAAAGCTCATTCATTTAATAACCCATATAAACCTATATTTAATCCATTCTCACTTGCAGTTAAAACAACCAAACTCCTTTGTTAAGACTGAGGAGTCAATTAAGCTTATACCTAACTATAAGCATAATAATGCAGTGTATTGATGGAGAAAGTTATCTGTCAAGTCTCTGCACTTCTTAATCAAGATCATCTTGCATATCTTCAATACTCACTTATGCCCTTAAATCCACAGAGAAAGAGCAAAAATAATATGGCAAAAGAAAAAAAGTCCTATAGGTTTTTATTTTCCAGATACACATATATTAAGGATGCACACTTTGTAAAGGATCATATCTCAGTTCTCAGGGCCTTGATTTTTTATACTGAGTAGTAATGATGTTTGTGGACCAATTCTGGTTGGTAAAAATAAACCAGAGTAGATACTGATATTTACATGCGATTGGGTAAATTGAAACACCACTTGGAAACTACAACAGGAAGCAAGTTTGAATGTAGCAACACAAGCAAATAAAACTAAAGGAGAGCCCATCCTGTGGCTAATAAATAAAAAGTTGGTGAGCTATTTGTGTGGAAACACACAAACAACAACAAGGAAACCTGCTGAGGGAGAGAAGCTGTTTCCTGAGACAGATGGATATAAAAGATCCACAGAGGACAACTCTGTAGAAGACCATTATCTTTTGCAATAACACATCAATCTGGTGATCCACTGCCACCATGTCTTGTCCCCAAGGATGCTGTAGTGTCCCAACCACCACCATCTGTTCCTCTGATGTTTGCTGCCGGTGTGGAGTCTGCCTGCCCAGCACCTGCCCACATAAGATCAGCCTCCTCGAGCGCACCTGCGATTGTGACAGCTGCCCCCCACCTAGCTGTGTGCCTGACTCCTACGTACCATCGTGCTGGCTACTCAACAGCTGCCACCCGACTCCAGACCTGAGTGGGATCTTTGTCACAACGTGCATCCAGCCCTGTGAGTGCAAACCATCCTTGCTGCAAGCCAAGGATGTTTAAGGAGCTTGGCCACATTGTCCCAAGAACTTTTCATAGTCATCATGGGCTGTTAAGTAAATTGTTTATAATTCACTGGAAACCCTGAAAGGAAATGTTCTGATTCTAGTTTTTCTGAAGTGGTCTTTTCATGCTCGAAAGATGATTTTACATGAAAAGTGCAAAAAGTACTACCTTACTTTAAAACAAAATAAACACTGCCTATCAAGCCAGGCACTGTCTTGATGTTTAATACCATAATTATGCAATGACTCTTGACAAATGCATCATAAACCTATAAATAAATCCAGCAGAATTACACTTTCTGATGACATCAGCGGAACTCTTAGGGCTAAAAGAAGAACTCACCAGGGTATTTAAATACCTGAAGAAAATTGCCTAGTTAGTAAACTATCTTAGGCTGAGTTTTGGTTCTTTTTTAAATTCCAAATTCAGTATCTACTTTTAAATTTATTTTTTCCCTGGCTCTTTAAATAAACTTACATATGTCCTTAAAGAGGCTGCAAAACTGGAATTAGAGATCAACATACAAAAGGGACTCCAAAACTTGACTTGAGATTTATTTCTTCATGGTCTCTTAGGTGACGGTTTAAATGCAAAACTGTTTGACACCTCTACAACACTTCAAAAATGGAACAGATCACTGTGTATGTAAAGAGTTCGTATACATAACTCTTCTAAAAAGAAAGACTTTTTTGTTGGTCCACTCTGTATTTTAATTTCATCAAAGTCAATAGACATTTATCAAATGCTTGCTATATGCCAGGCTTCATGCTAGGTGCTTGAGAGAGACAAAGATTATGATTCCCACTTTGAAGAATCTTGTGTAGGGAGGATGACAAATATAAATGGTAAATTACAATATACAGCAGAATGAAACAAGAGCAAGATAGAAGCACAGGTAACACATTCTGGAAGAGCAGAGAAAATAATAGAAACGTAGATAACTCATCATAAGTTCCTTTACAAAGGTTATAGAAGTTTGAGCTGATGCTTATGAGATAAGTAGAGTTTGAGAGGTAGAGAGCTATCAAAAGGTATTTTAGGCCAAAGAAATGATCTAAGGTCACAGAGGAGCAAAGTACCTAGGAGATTCTCTAAGTTTCATTTTTATTTCATGTGATCTATGATTAATATCAATATTTCATCAAAACATCACACCAACTTCACTAGTAAGGTCTTCTTACATGAAATGTATGTGATTCACCAATGGCATTTAATGACATCTGTATTTTCCACTGACTTGTTTTAGTCAGCTTTCTTCTCTTTTAAACAGGTTATATTGTTTTTCTGTAATGTTCTCTTAGAAACAGCCTATCAAGGTATCTGTATTTTGTGTTTATTCAACAATTATTTGCCCTTCAACAAATTATATCATTGAGATTCTACTATCTGAATAGTTTTGTACTAGTCATGGGGATGAACGTAAAGATGCTGGAATCCACCCGGGTTAGGACTCGGTTAGAGCTCATCTGCGAACCACCTCAGCACTCTAAATTAAGGCCAACAGAAGCGAAGAATCCATCCTGTGATGGAATTTACAATCTAGCTCAAGGCTTAAGATATGAAAACAAACATGCAAGGTTGGGAATAAGTTAGTGAAAAATAGTTTCTATTCATTATATTGGATTATATCCCTTTCCAAACTTCACTATTTTTCTGGAGAGATGATCAAATGGAAATGTCATAGTTTCTCCTGAGTTCCTGACTTATCCTTTTTTTTTTAATTTTTATTGTTACTTGAATGATAGTTTACATGGGAGAACATTGGTTTTACCCTCCTGGTTTCATTGCAATGATTACAATCTCCTCCGTGCATCATCATTCAGCAGTATTTGCTTCTATTCCCTCGGTTTTGTTTTGTTTTTTAGATGTACACAAAAGGACTCAGGAATATACAATCATTTAAACAGCCAAAGGGCACATTCTACAAGCCTGTCTCCTGCTAACCAGCACACAGCCTTTCTCTTTCCATGAGTCTAGAGTCCTCAGCAGCTCTCTTTCCTGATAAATCTTAAAATATGTACATCAATGACAAGAAATTTAATAAAAATTGTAATGATGCATTTAAAAAGGAGTGTAACAAGGTGGATCTTTTAATACAGAGAATTTATACCTTAAATCACTACCATATTGACACAACTTTGACAATCGAGACTCTTCAAAAAACAGATCCGTAGAGTAATGTAATCTTCGGGAACTCAGTAAAGATTTCTTAAGAGTAACAAAAAGGGGTGTTTCACCTATGCCATCTGGCTGTCACTTAGCTTACTCACAAAAACTTAAATTATGCCACTAACAAACAAGCCAAATCTGCCTGAGATACACAAAGTCATATGCCACATTCATGTGTAAGTAGCCACATCCTTGTTGACTTTATTGGGAAGAAAATGCTCCCATTAGTCATTTGAGTTGTTTGTTCTGAAATTAGTAATGAAAAGTCACACCATGTCACGCATACTATTCAAAAAATTTTAACAATACAAAGAGAAAAGTTTAGCCTCAAAAACTATAGTTGAATTTTCATTTGAACTGATTACCCATAAGTCATGAAGGTTTTGCATGCCAGGACCCTCTGAGGTTAAAATGTGATAATCATATGACAAAAAATGCCAGGTCAATGAGTCAAAAGCCTCATTTAATAAAGATTGGAACTCTTAATGGGCAAACAAATACCAAACTGGTTAGAGAATCTTAGTGGAAAAGGCATAAATGAAAATAAGGATAAGAATCCTTCTGGTTGGACCAACACCCATTAGGAAGGATATATAAGAGCCCCAGTATGAAGAGGAGACATTCACACATCAGAAGATTCATCTTTCTTTTAACCAACCCAGTAAAACCACAGATTCCAAACGCCATGGCTTGCTGTGCTCCCCGATGCTGCAGTATCCCCACCGGCCCTGCCACCACCATCTGCTCCTCTGACAAATGCTGCCGATGCGGAGTCTGCCTGCCCAGCACCTGCCCACACACAACCTGGTTACTGGAGCCAACCTGCTGTGACAACACTCCCCCACCCTGCCACATCCCTCAGCCCTGTGTGCCCACCTGCTTCCTGCTCAACTCCAACCAGCCAACCCCAGGCCTGGAGACCATCAACCTCACTGTTTTCACTCAGCCTGGCTGTGACCCCTGCCGCCCATGCTGCTGTTGATTGATGGCTGCTTTGGCCTGTGCCTGAGAATGAAGAATTCAGAAGCTGTCTATGCAGTGTTCATCTGCCTCAGTAGTTTATCAGATGTTGCAAAGTAGACCAGATGCTCCAAAGATAGAAATTCTAGTCTTTTTAAATTTCTAATAAGGGGAACCCTGGTATTTTTCATGGCTATTTGGCTGAATAACTGTTTGGTTTATTTGGGCAGATGAATATCAATGATCATCAAAATACTCTATTGAAATCTTTTAAACCTCAAATTATATTTTCTTGGTCACTTGTTTCTTGTATCGTACTTCTTATATTAGGAGTTTTCATGGAGGTGAAATAATTTCTTGATGGATTTTCCAATAAATCTAATCTCTGGCCATGTGTTCTTTGTTATGTGTTCTTTGCTCAGAGTTTTGGGAATTTTTATTTTATTAAATATATATATGGTGGTAGTTATGTGTCGTGGAATAGGTTCTAACTCATAGCGACCCTGTATGGGGTTTCTGAGGTTGTAAATCTTCACGGGAGCAGAAAGCCTCATGTTTCTCCCGTGGAACCACTGGTAGTTTCAAACTGCTGACCTTGAGATGAGCAGCCCGACTCGTAACCACTATGCTACCAGAACTCCTTAAATATATATATAGTAATTGCTTTATTTTTTAAAAGGATCTATTAACAGAGTAATTTGCCACTAGCTGCTAACTTTAAATTCACTATTAAATATTATTGTATTCACCTTTTCTTCTCTCTTATATCTGAGACAAATACAATTTTGGGGACAAGTCAACATTTGCCTATATTTTGCTAGGCAAATCACATATTTACTCATTTAGTCATTGCAACAGCATTAAATGATGAGAAAAATAAAACTGTATGAGTCATTCAGCATTATAAAAGTCATAAAGTTAGTTACTAAGGAAACCAGAATTAAATCTCTTGTATGTCTGACTGATGTCCAGTTCTTTCTACCACATACCCTATAGCCTCCAATACTAACAGAAGTTTATGAACACAGCATGATAGTAACTTAAAATATTCCAAAGGAAATGAAGTATAAATTTCTTTAAGCATCACATCCAGGTGTAATGGAAAAATAATATATCAACTCATAGATTATCAACTCATAGATATCAACTCATGGAAGGTATTCAATTCTAAAATCTGGGTCATTCAGTGGCTTTGCCAATTTTCACTTCATTTTCCTTTAGAGAGAAACTAAAGAGGTCAGTTCTATAAGCAAGACTTGTCACCATAACTCAGCACGGAAGTTCTGCCCCAGTATTTAATAGAATGTGAGTACTATTCAATGCTGGACTAAGAGGTAAAGTTGAATTCCTGACTAACTATGCCACCCTACTTCATTTTACCTTGTATAGATGATCCCTTTTTTCAGCCTAGAGATTATGTAATACAAACAGATAATATGTATATGCATATGCTCATATGTATATGCATATTATATGTATATGTGTATGTATATTACCGTAATATATATACATGTTATGTGGAAACATATACATAATATATGGTAATACACATACATATGGTAATACATATATACATACATACAGGAGTCCTGGTGTGGTGCTGTGGGCTGATGCACTGGTCTGCAAGAGTTAGTTTGAACCATAGGGTCAGCAATTCAAGTTCACCAGATGCTCCTCAGGAACCCTAAACAGGGTCACTATGGGCCAGAACCGACTCAACAACATATATGTATATGGAGCTCTGGTAGCATAGTGGTTATGAGTCAGACTGCTAATCTCAAGGTCAGCAGTTTGAAACTACCAGAGGTTCTGCAGGAGAAAGATGAGGCTTTCTGCTCCTGTAAAGATTTACAGTCTCGGAAACACTATACAGGACCGCTGGGCATCAGAACCAACTTCATGGCACATAACCACCATCACCATATATATGCATAAAGTCAAAAAAAAAAAAAAAAGTCAAAAAAATCACTGAGTTAAAACCAAAAGAATGCAATGCTTGTAGACAAAAAAGTAGGATAAGAAGGGAAGAAGTATTTCTTCAGAGAGGGATTTCACACAGGATCCCAAGGTTTATTAGTAGCTCAACTTCCAAGTGAACAAAACTTAAAAGTCACCAATTAGATGGCCATCATTTCTGGAGTGTTTCCTCTGGCACCATATTTATGCCCGCAGCAGAAGGAGAAAAGAAAGGTTAATCCCTAACATTCCCTCAAGATTCTCTCCTGGTGATAGAGGCAAACAAGTAATCGTATAATCAGAGCATCTATGTGTTTTATATGTGTTCTATATAAAATTCAGGCATCCTAAGGAGCTCTGGTAGCGTAGTGGTTGCGAATCGGGCTGCTAACCTTAAGGTCAGCGGTTCGAAACTACCAGCCGCTCCGCGGGAGAAAGATGAGGCTTTCTACTCCCGTAAAGATTTACACCCTCAGAAACCCTGTACAGGGTCGCTATGGGTCGGAACCGACTCGACGGCACTTAACAACAACAACAACAACAAAAGTGTGACACTGTAGGATAAGCACTGGACCGAAAAGTCAGTTTGATTCACAAGGTCAACAGTTCAAATTCACCAAACACTCCTCAGAAATTCTATGGAGTTGGAACCGACTTGTGGGCACTTACCAACAACAAATAACATATACACTTACACTCATAATATTGTATGATTCCTGCTGTAACTATGGTATAGTAGCAGAAAGAGGAACAAACACTCCTTATTTAGTGACCGAGAGTGTCAGAGATGAGGAGTTGCTGTGGGAAACTTCCAGCTGCCCAGGCTAAACATTATAAGATAAAAGTTGTTGTTAAGTGCCATTAAGTCAATTCTGACTGATAGTTGACCCCATATAGGGTTTCTGAGGAATAACTGGTGGGTTTGAACTGGCGACCTTGACCCGTGCTCATCCTACAACACCAGGGGAGCATTTATTGAAGGCACAGGTAGTCATTTAATAAATCAAGAAGGCATCATAGAGTTTGGAGTTTTTACACAGCAAGAGGCAGTTTGGAATGAATGGAGTAATAGGAGAAGAGAAGGATGAAGCAAGGAGAAAGAAATGCAAAAGACCTGGATTGGGGTTCTCCAAAGGAGCTCTGGTAGCGTAGTGGTTATGAATTGAGCTGCTAACTTCAAGGTCATCAGTTCGAAACTACCAGCTGTTCCATGGGAGAAAGATGAGGTGTTCTGCTCCCATAAAGATTTACAGCCTCAGAAACCCTGTACAGGGTCACTATGAGTCAGAACCGACTCCATGGCACACCACCACCAAAGGGGTTTGGACTGAAACCTCAGAGCAATGAGAGATTTTACACAAGGGACTAATAGTCAGGGCATTCTTCTGCTTCTTTTAATGATCTATCTTTTATTTACATCTTCACTGTCCCCAATCTCTGATTGACCATACCCACTGCCTCCAAGTGTCCATATGCCATTACAGCTGCTTTATAGCGTTTCCAAGGCTGTAAATCTTTACAGAAGCAGACTGCCTCGTCCTTCTCCCTTGGAGTGGCTGGTGGGCTCTAACCGCTTTCCTTTAGTCTAGCAGTCCAGCAGGCACTCACTGGACCATGAGGGCTCTTGACTACAGAAACGTGTAGTTAAAACTGGGCACGTTCTTGGAGGAGGGGGAATGTGTGGATTTTTCAACACTTTGAAAATCTGCCATCTAAAAAAAAAATCACCAGGCTGTTCCTTCGTTCAATTAAAGGGAAATTTTATTCTTTGTTTATAAAAACAGATCATGCTTATTGTATCTGGCACACATTTTTTAAGCTTCTATTTAAAACCACATAAAAGGTAGCTCAGTCCTCACAGGTCTTGCTTTTAGCTTTTAACAAGTCAGTCACCTGGTCATCTAGTCAAATGATTTCACTTGTCCAGGGGAGGATTCATTATTCTAATTCATAAGAAAAGGAGAGTGATTCCCACAGAAGAAGAGGTTTGAAGAATATTTGAGTCAAAGTTGAGTGGTTTAAGGCTGATGGTAGTGGTGGTGGTAGTGTGGAGTTGGTTCCGACTCATAGCCACCCTACATAGGGTTTACAAGGCTGTGAATCTTTATGGGAGCAGAAAGCCTCACCTTTCTCCTGTGAAATAGCTGGTAGTTTAGAACTTCTGACCTTGAAGTTAGCAGCCTGACTCGTCACCACCACACTACCACAGATCCTTTAACACTGACACCGGTCAGGAATTCCTCATATGCTCTCTCTTAAATATGCCTCACATCTAAATGGAAGTAGATCTTTCCTGCCATAATTACATTTAATTTTAAGGGGAAATATCATTACACTGAAATAAAAAGTGAATGAAATCAAATGCCTACAGATTCATCTAAAGAACTCAGTCAATGCCTTCAGTTTCCACCAAAAGCAAGAATTTTACTTAACTTTTAACATCATGGTTCAGTGGTTCAAACCCACAAGCTGCTCCTCAGAAACCCTATGCAGGGTCACTATGAGTCAGAACCAACTCGATGATACTTTACAACAACAACATCTTAAATTTTCCTTTTACTTAATCTGTGTACACATCAGCTAAAATTTTAACTTCCCCATATTTATTGGTGACAGAAACAAAGCAAGCCAGTTATCAATAGAAAGATGGTGGTGGTAGTGGAGGTTATGCACCACGGAGTTGATTTCAACTCATAGTGACCCTGTATGGATTTTGGAAGTTGTTAAATGAGCAGAAAGCCTCATCTTTCTCTCAAAAGAGAAATGCCTAGTTAAAAACAAAAGAAGAAGAACTGTTTAAAAGAACTAGTTATAAAATACAGCTAAAACAATAATTCAATTTCACTTTCACCCATCAGGTTGGCAAAGATTTCTAAAATAAAGTATCCCTCAAAGATATAGGCTAATGGAAGTTTTCAGCACAACTGGTGGGAATGTAGACAGAAGCACTTTGGAGTGCTGTGTAACAATTATTGGGCAGAATTATTGGTGCAAATGTTAATTATCAAGATTTTTAAGGCCTTTGTTATTTATTGCCCTACATTAGCTATATTAATATATATTATCTATCTATCCATCTCTTTATTGGAGTCCTGGTGTGGCGCTGTGCATTAATGCATCAGACTGCAAAGCTGTTTGAACTACAAGTTTGGCGGTTCAAGCTCACCAGCTGCTCCTTAGAAACCCTATACAGGGTCACTATGGGTCGGAACCAACTTGACGGCACTTCACAACAACAACAGCAAATCCATCTCTTTGATGCATGCACACACTGAGGGTGTGGGGAGGCAAGAAGGAGGCAAATGATGAAGACAGATACATTGGTAAGCCCAAGAACTCAAAGAATTGATGGCAGCTTCTAGAAGCTGGGCTAAACAAGGAAGGATTCAACTGAGTTCATGCAGAACCTGTACACAGACCAAAAGGCAGCTATTTGAGCGAAAAAGGGAGATATTGCATGGTTTAAAATCAGGAAAGGTGTGCGTCAAGGTTGTATCCAAATTCAGAGATAAATCCTGAATTTGGACTTCTAGCAAATGTGTCCATTTGTCTGACTTTGGTGGCTTGCCTTCTATTGTGATGCTGGAAGCTATTCCACTGCTATTTCAAATTCCCACCAGATCATCCACAGTAGATAGAGTTCAGAGAATCTTCCAAATTTAGACAGACTGGAAAGAAGAACCTGGAGATCTACTTCTGAGAAATTGGTCAGTGAAAACCTTAGGAATGTTGTCTGCTATAGTGCCAGAGGAGTCCTGGTGTGGCACTGTGGGCTAATGCATCAGACTGCAAAGTCATTTGAACTGCAAGGTCGGTGATTCAAACTCACCAGCTGCTCTTTGGAAGCCCTATACAAGGTCGCTATTGGTTGGAATTGACTCAATGGCACTTAACAATAAAAACAGCGCCAGAAGATGAGCCTCTCAGGTTAGATGGCGCTCAAAAAAGGACTAGGAAAGAGCAACCTTCTCAAAATAGAGCCAGTCTTAATGATGTAGATGGAGGAAAGCTCTTACAGCCTTCATTTGCTGGTGTAGCATGACCAGAACAAACAGTTACAAATGTTCATTAATAATCAGAACATGGATGCATAAAGTATGAATCTTGCAAAACTGAAAGTTACATAAAAATGAAATGGAATGCTTGAAGATGATTACTCTAGGCATTGCTGATATTGTTGTAGGTGCCATCAAGTCAGTTCCAACTCATAACAACCCTGTATAGAGTTGCTGAGGCTGTAAATCTTTATGGGAATAGAAAGCTTCATCTTTCTTTCACAGAGCAGTTGATGGGTTTGAACTATCAACCTTGTGGTTAGCAGTCCAGTGCTTATCCTATAGCACCACCAACATTAATTGTAGACATTTGAGAGCTGAAATGGCCATTTTGGTATTGGTCATTTTGAATTGAACCATCATGTGGCTGAATATTAAAAGCACCATGGACTGCCAGAAGAACAAATAAATCTGTGTTGGAAGACATATAGTTATAATGCTCCTTGGAAGCCAGGATGGCGAGATTTCATCTCTCATACTTTGGACATGTAATAAGGAGGGACCAGTCCCTGGAGAAGGACATCAGGTTTGGTAAAGTGATGATCAGTGAAAAAGAGGAAGACCCCCAATGAGAGGGACTGACACAATGGCAGCAGTAAAGGGTGCAAATGTAGCAACAATTGTGATGATAACGTGGGACCAGACAGTGTTTGGTTTTGTTGTGCACAGGATTGCTATCAGTTGGAACGCACTCAATGGTACCTAACAACAAAAAATGGCCTACTATACTGGGAATGATAAATTGAAGAGGAACAGTTTCACATTCATTTTCAGAAAAAACATTTTAAGATCTATTCTGAAGTATGACCCTGTCAGTAATAGAATAATAAACTGATCAAATATGCAGGTAAGATGCATTGATAATTACTGGTTATTGTAATGCAAAAGTTGGAAACAAAGAAGTATTAGTAGTTGGAAAATATGGCCTTGGTGTAAGAAATGATGATAGAATTATGCAAGATCAACATTGTCTGATTCACTGGAAATACATTTTTTCAATAACATTAATGACAGGTATACCATGAACCTCATCAGATGGAATACACAGGAATCAAACTGACCATATCTGTGGACAGAGATAATAGAGTCATAGTTCAGTATGTCAGAACAAGGCCAGGGTCAATTACAGAACAGACCATCAAATGCCCAAGCTGAAGCTGAAGAAAATTAAAACAAGTCCATAAAGCACAACCTAAAGTATAACCCACCTAAATTTAGAGATCATGTCAAATATAGATTTGACATATTTAACAAAGATCTGACAAATTGTGGAATGACATCAAAGATTCTATACATGAAGAAAGCAAAAGATCGCTAAGAAGGCAGGAAAACAGAAAAGATCAAAATGGATGTCAGAAAGACTCTGAAACTTACTCTTGAATGTAAACTTGTTAAAGTGAATGGAAAAAATAATGATATAAGATAGCAGAAGATTTCCAAGGGTATCTCAACCTGGAGTGCAAGGACCTGGAGTTAGAAAACCAAAAAGGAAGAACTCACTCACCATTTCTCAAGCTAAAATAACAAGAAAAAAATTCAAACATCAAGTTGCAATATTGAAGGATACTATGGACAATGGTGACTGATGCAGAAAGCATCAAAAGAAGATGGAAGGAATACAGCATTGTTGTTATCGTTGTTAAGTACCCTCAAGTCAATTCCGACTCATAGTGACCCTATTTTGAGTTTCCAAGGCTTTTTATCAATGAGGGAGCAGAAAGCCTTATTTTCTCCCTCAGAAGGGCTGATGGGCTCCAACTGTGGACCTTGTGGTTCACAGCCCAGTGTTTATCATATGAAGCTCCCTATACAAGAGTTACTGTACCAAAAATAAAGCAACCACTTCAGGAGGTAGCATATGATCAAGAACCCATGGCACTAAAGGACTGAAGGAAGACATCCAAGCTGCACAGAATGCTACTTAGAAGTGAGAAGCATAAGACTCCGTCTCACATACTTTGGATGCGTTATCAGGAGGCACCAGTCCCTAGAGAAGGACATCATGCTTGACAAAGTGAAGGTCAGCAAGTTGACGTGGTGGCTACAACAACGGGCTCAAATACAGCAGTGATTGTGTGGATAGCACTGGACAGGAAGTGTTTTCTTCTGTTGTCTATAGAGTCGATGAATTGGAATCCATTTGACGGCACCTAACAACAACGACCTGTCTATCTGTCTGTCTGTCTATTTACACACACATCAAGTTTCTCTCAATAGTAATATTATGGGTAAGTCATTTTCGTTATACTTTTCTGTATTTTCCAAATTTTCAAAATGAATACATAATATTTTATAGTCAGGAAAGGGAATAAGTGTTTTTGTCCATATATTTCAAGAGCATATTTGTTCACCTTAATTTGACTGGATTTTCAGAAACTTCAAACCTAAAAGAAAGTTACTATAATGAAGCACAGATCTTTAAACGAGAAAAAGAGTTCTTTTATCAGACAAATTGAAATAGATAAAGGTAAAGAGAGAAAAAACAAAACTGAGCAGCGGAAGAAAGGATGCCCACACACTAGGTCTACTGCCTACTGTCGCTCAGTATTCCCCAGCAGGGATGGTGTTGGAATGATAATAGCAGAAGTCTTTGGCGATACCTCATAAAGTTGTGTTGTAGTGTGACAAATAACAAGAGTAATCAGTTTAGACTTAGCAAAGAACTCCAATAAAAGTTAATTAGGAGAAGAGAGACTCTTTACAGGCATCTAAGTGGCAAACCAATCAAAGGATAATGATTACACTAACATAAACAAGAACCAGGAAAGAAGCCTCCTGGTTGGACCAACACCCATTAGGGAGGATATATAAGAGCCCCAGTATGAAAAGGAGACATTCACACATCAGAAGCTTCATCTTTCTTTTCAACCAACCCAGTAAAACCACAGATTCCAAACGCCATGGCTTGCTGTGCTCCCCGATGCTGCAGTATCCCCACCGGCCCTGCCACCACCATCTGCTCCTCTGACAAATGCTGCCGATGCGGAGTCTGCCTGCCCAGCACCTGCCCACACACAACCTGGTTACTGGAGCCAACCTGCTGTGACAACACTCCCCCACCCTGCCACATCCCTCAGCCCTGTGTGCCCACCTGCTTCCTGCTCAACTCCAACCAGCCAACCCCAGGCCTGGAGACCATCAACCTCACTGTTTTCACTCAGCCTGGCTGTGACCCCTGCCGCCCATGCTGCTGTTGATTGATGGCTGCTCTGGCCTATGGCTGACATTGAAGGAGTCAACTAACAAGTTTTAGTGTTCACCTGGCCTAGTAACTGTAACTAATTGACTTTGCTTTAGAAATCGGACGCGGGGTGGCACTATCACTGACAACCTCCCCAAAAAGGAAACCAAGAGACTTTCTAAGCCCATGTAGCTGTTATCAATAACTGCAACTTGAACAGGTGGAATGCTGTAGGCTTCCTAAACTTGTTCAATTCCTTCGTATTAACGTATATCTTTCTTTGATTGCTTTGGGAATTCTGTTTCCAGTCTTGGGTATCTTTCTGGAAATTGAAGAGGCTCTTCATGGTCATCCTAATAAATTTTACATCTATGGCATAGCATAAATGTCTATAACTACTTTTGCTTATTTCTGTACATTCATTAAGTTTATCTTAACTCCAAATGTCAGCAATTAAAGAGAAACTAGGAACATTTAGGAAACCAAAAATGGTGGCAGTAGATACAAATATGTCTTGATATTCTTGCTGTTTTTAAAAAATTAAATACCGCTGCATAAAAGATGGTGTTGGCATACTTGAAAGTAGGCTTTTCCCTAACTCGACCTCCCCAAAAATGGTTTCAGGTAAGTTGGAGTATACTTGTGATGACCCAAAGACCAAATATGACAAAACATACCAACTAATCCAGGTGACCTCATTTACAAGGATAAGTCAAAATGTATTGCTACGAAGGTTCCAGTTCATATGTCTATGGCTTTATTCCAAGCAAACTGTGTTTAAACATGTCTCTGCAATCACTGGATGCCTGCAAACAAGTTCTTTCAGTAGTACACTTTTATTAGTCTCATTAGGATGCCTTCAAAAAGATATCCAATCAAAATAGTAGCCTCCATGGGAATCTGTTGGGCCAGTTAAATTCAAGGCAAAGATGTCAGCTCAGAAGGTATGGTGATTGTTTGATGGAATTCCAAAGGGATAATCTTGATAGATTTTCTTTAAGGAAACAGGACGATCCAGGAGTTTATTGAATTAATTTTTTAAAAATGAAAACTGCATTGGTGAGAAAAAGGGCAGGAAAGTTGCTCTGAGGAATTTTTTCTTTTTTTCACACACACAAAAATTCACCTGCTCATTCTTCACAGTAGCAAGGGCTGTCCTATGGAAATTTTGTTGGGAAACCTTATTCCATTCACCTTATGGCCTTGATATTGGTCCCTCAGACTTCCTTTTTTTCCTAAAATTCAAAGAACATTGAGACAGAACATGAGTTGAGTCTCTTGAGAATTCCAAAACTGTTATTTGGATGTGCTATAATCTGAAGAGTACAGAATTCTTTGGTGAAAGGTTAGCATGATGAAAACATCACCTTCAGAAGTATACAGACTTACATAGAGGATATGTTAAAAGATAATAACTTCATATTATTATATTTTTGCTTAGCAAAGTTTTCTGTGCTTTGGTTGCAATACTTTTTTACTTACTCTCACATTTATATTAAAATTTGATAATGTCACCATTCATTTACCTAACATTTATTAAATACCTATTATGGGTCTGGTATAGAGGGTTCATCATTAGGCTGCTAGCCACAAAGCCCCTAGTTCGTACCTGTCAGCCTCTCCATATGAGACAATGAGGCTGTCTGTTCCTGCAGAGAGTCACAGTCTCAGAAACCCCACGGAGCAGTCCTACTGGGTACAAAAGGGTCAGTATGAGTCAGAAGCAACTCAACTGCAGGAGGTCCTATATTTTATTGTCCCTACTCTAAATGACCTTACAATCTGGCAAGTGAAAGAGATACATGAAGAACATCCATTCACTCCATCATAAAACTAAAACCAAATCCATTGCCATCCAGTCAATTCCAATACACATTCCTTCATACAGTTAATTTTTTACTGAATGAAAATAAATATGGTATAGCAAAAAATATAATAAGCATTATTAAAGTACTTTGGGACCCTAAAGCTGAGACAATATCGTTCCCATGGGGATGAAGAGGAGAAAGATGTAAGAGTCCAGGGCTGTAGATCAAAGAGATATGAAGAAGTTGTTGTTGTTAACTGGTTTCCAAACCATAGCAACCCCATGTAGGGTTTCCAAGAAGCGGCTGGTGGGTGAGTTTGAACCACCGACCTTGTGGTTCAAACAACCTTTCAGTCCAGCACATTAGCCCACAGTGCCACACCAGGACTCCATATGAAGAAGAAGGTGCAAAAATCAAACAAACAAAACCAGTAGGCAGTGTGGTTATATCACCAGCTACACCTGGGAGCAGAGAAGGAAGAAGGAATTACAGAAGGAAATATTGTGTTCTGCTCTAGACATGCCAAATTCAAGGCACAAGTGTCTTATGCACATGTGTCAGACTGTTAGTAAAGAAGATGACGTATGGAGAAGAGAACAGAAAGCTGTGCACGGGATCCCTTCACATCCTTGCAGAAGACTGGGCGGTATGCATGCAAGATATCCCATGAGGTAGCAGACACTAGCTGTTGGAGAATTAAGAGCTAAATGGCAAAACCAACATTCGTTCAGAATGAATAAGGAGCCCTTATGGTACAATGATTAAGCACTCTGCTGATAACAAAAAGGTCAGCGGTTCAAATCCACCAGTGGCTCTAGGGGAAAGAAAAAAATCCTGGTGATCTGCTCCACGAAAGATGTGTTGTTGTTGTTGTTGTTAGGAGCCATCGAGTCAGTGCCGACTTGTAGCCACCCTGTGTCCAACAGAGTGAAATACTACCTAGTCCTGTTTTTAAACATGTCACAATAATTGCTGTCCTTAAGCTCATTGTTGCAGCCACTCTGTGAATCTCATTGTTGTTGTTGTAGTTGTTGTTAAGTATCATCAAGTCGGTTCTGGCCCATAGCGACCCTGTATAAGGTGTTCAAAGAGTGACTGGTGAACTTCAACCACCAACCTTGTGATTCAAATCAACTCAGTAACAACAACATTCAGTACTAACAAACATTAAAGTTCCAACCCAGCCAGAGTGGGAAAACTGCACACACTCAACTCATGTTCCAGAAAGGATATACCCAAAGAGCAAGGACCACAATTATGATAAACATTAAAAAACACACACACAAAAATTGCATCGCAACACAACGGCTGCTAAAGTGGGGTCTGTACAAATAGTTATAAGTGTCCCCATCTCAACATGAAGCAGTTGCATGCCATTTCAGCTGAGTCTTGACATGTGAGTCCATCCAGGAAAGAAATGACAGAAAAGCATTAGACCAAGGAAACAGTGCTTGCGAAGCCTGGCGGTATGACTGGAGTCTGGGGTTTGTGACAAAGGAGATCAGGGAAAAGCCTAGAAAGACAGAGTGGCACCAGATTGAGAAAGGTCATGATTGTCGTACTTGAAGTTCGGCGCTTATACCTGCGGAGTGATAAATGTGGACATGTATTTTAGACCAAGGATTCTGACAGCAGTGTTTGCTCTGAGGTAAAGTATATTACAAAACGAAAGAACTGACATTTTTATCATGACTTTTCATGTCATTTTATTCTCTTAGAGTCCCTGGGTGGCACAAATAGTTAAGCACTCACCTATTAACTGAAGGCTTAAACTCACCCAGAGGTAACTCGAAAGAAAGTCTGGGCAATTTGTTTCCAAAAGTCCCCAACGTGAAGAGTTTACAGAATATAATTCTACTCTGCAGCATGTACGGTTGAAATCAACTCAACAGCAACTGATTTGGTTTGATTTTTGGTCTTGGTTTGGTTAAATGTTCCCTTATTCTGAGGATGATATGCTATAAAAACAAATACTGGGCAATTTTCACATTCTAATAGGAAAACTGCACCCACAGATGGTCTGTCATACAACACAGTACTAATCAATCAAGGCCAAAATAAACAGTTCTTCCCTCTGTATGTATACAACAAACATCAGTCAACATTTACAAACAGAAATTAGCTTGAGACAAAGGAAGTAGGACTTACTTTACCTGCTGTTACTTTAACATAATGATACATTGATGCATTTTAGTTAAGTAGACCAGATGATGCACAACAAAGGTGTGGATTCTCTTTAAAGCTGTTCTTCTCTTTATTCATTCAGTGGAGGGTTGTAGTACTCTTTGGCATAGTTGTAATTTTAAATTTGTTTTAAATCTTGGATTCATGTTCATGCATGATAGCATCAGTATACCAATATATCGATATACTAAACACTTTAACCTAAGTGTTGATTTTAGAATCACTAAAATCAAATCCAATTCTGTCCACTAAATCGTAAATCCTAAAAGACTATTTCAATTCACCCTAGAGAAGGTCTCCGACATTTGTTCTCCATTATCAGATACATAGAAAGGTATGCTCAGAGTTAGAAATAATTAAGTTTGTTCTGGATCATGAAATGTTTAATGCTTTTTCCTACAAAGATCTCAAAGATTTTAAAGATTTGCCCTGTGTTGCCTTTGAAAATGAAATAGATGATTGCAATTAAAATTGAGTGTTATTGTTAAATGGCATTGAATCGGTTCCGACCCATAGCAAGCCTGCATAGGGTTTCCAAGGAGTGGCTGGTGGGTTTGACTGCTGACCTTGTGGTTCAAACTGGCCTTGTGGTCCAGCACATTATCCTGCAGCACTACACCAGGACTGAGTAAATTATGCTAAATAATGAAGATGAGATTCAAAAGAGAATCGAAAAAAGTTACATCTTAAGTCCCATTCCCTTAGATACTCCACCAGGGATTTCATTCAATTATTGGTCTGGAACCCATAGTGTAGAATTTTTGTTTTTCAAGGTCCAGTATGTTTAGTTTTCATAATATTAAAACCGTCAGAAAAATAAGTAAGATAAAGTAGACTCAGTATCTCAGAAGAAAAGTGTTTTTGTAGTTTTCTTTCTCCCTATTCTAACAAGCAATCTGTAAGGATCTGTCAAGTACCTAAAAATAATAACCTATATTTTATTTCTATTACAAATACTAGAATCCTATAGGTATTAAAAAAACCTACAGGATTCTCAAATACCTTACTTCGATAACAGCATCAGGAGGAGCCAACCTCTGGAGAAGGACATCATATCTGGGGAAGTGGACACCCTCCATGACAGGGACTGACCACAAAGATGGCCACAACAGATGGCCAATGTACCAACGGTCATGACGGTGGCACAGGACCCAACGACATTTCCTTCTGTTACACATGGAATCGTCATGAGTCAGAGCCAACTCAATGGAAGCTAATGACAGCAAAGCAAAAAATATTAGCTCTGATCCAAAAATGAGACACGAAAAATGGAGAAGGCAAGTTTCAGCAAATCAAGGATTACAACTTCAGGTCCTGATAACAATTTATGTTTTGGTTTATTGTTGTTATCCGTTAGGTGCCATCAAGTCAGTTCCGACTCCCAGGGACCCTATGCACAACAGAACAGAACATGCCTGATCCTACGCCATCCTCAAATTGTTACACTGGGGCCCATTGCTACTTCTTCTACTGTGCCAATCCATCTCATTGAGGGTCAGCCTGTTCTTCACTGACCCTCCACTTTACCAAGCATGATGTCCTTCTCTAGAGACCGGTTCTTCCTGACAACATGTCCAAAGTATGTGAGATGAAGTCTCACCATCCTGGCATCTAATCAGCATTCTGGCTGTACTTTTTCTAAGACAGATTTGTTTGTTCTTCTGGCAGTCCACGGTACTTTCAATATTCTTCTCCAACACCATAACTCAAATGCATTCTTCTATGGTTTTCCTTCTCCATTGTCCAACTCTCACATGCGTATCAAGCTACTGAAAATATCATGACTTGGGTCAGGCACACTTTATTCCTCAAACTGCTATCTTTGCTTTTGAACACTTTAAAGAGGCCTTGTGCAGCAGATTTGCCTAATGCAATATGCCATTTGATTTCTTGGCTGCTGCTTCATGATTATTGATTGTAGACCCAAGCAAAATGAAGTCTTTAACGACTTCAATTTTCTCTCCATTTATCATGATGCTATTGATTGGTCCAGTTGTGAGGATTTTTGTTTTCTTTATATTAAGGTGCAGTCCATACTAAAGGCTGTGGTCTTTGGTCTTCATTAGTAAGTACTCTAAGTCCCCTTCGCTTTTGGCAAGCAAGGTTGTGTCAGCTGTATATCACACGTTGTTAATGAGTCTTCCTCTAATCCTGATGCTACAGTCTTCTTCATAGAATCCAGTTTCTTGGATCACATGTTCAGCATGCAAACTGAGTAACTATGGTGAAAGAATATACCAATCACACCCCATTCCTGGTTTTTTTTTCTTGGTTCAAGGGCTAGGAGGGAGCTAGATGTGCTGTCTCCAACTTTATTCTGAGGAAAAACACGACGTGGGATCCTTAGACCCTGTCCTAGGGCACCTTTTGGTCTCCATGAGTTTGGAAAAGGCTATCTGGGGCCGCCCAACTGAAAAGAAACCAGGTCCCCTTACCACTGCACAGGGACCTATGCCTGGAACTGAAGGAGGCCTTGAGAATTGCTCCAAATGCAGGACCAAGAAACAGACTAGGATTCGAGGCCACATCACACTCGGGACCTCCCACGAACTCAGGGGGCGGTCCCACAGCTACTCCGCAAAACCAAAAACAAGGAGATAATAGTGCAACTGGAACTGTTGATTTAAAAACCAAAAACCAAAGATGGATTTCCTTAAGGAAGAGGATCTGAGAGAAAATGCTGGTGGGACTCTCTGGACACCTGTCACCCCTTCTTCTGAACAGCTGTTCGCACTGGGCAGAAGTTGCCGCCACGGGGTGGGCTAGGTTGAGCTGAGGCCCCCCAAGTCTTTGGATGCGACAGGCGAAGCTCACTGCTTGCCAGCCTGTTGGTCAGGCTTCTTCTCCTGCTGATCCCTGCCAGTGCCTGGGATCCCACCATGGCCACGGCCACAGCCACCCAACACACCTCGCCCAGCACCTCCAGCACCCCCAGCACCCCCATGCCATGGCCCTTCTGTTGCTTCTGCCCCTGCAGGCCGCCACGGCCATGGCCCTTGGCCACCACTTCATCCTTGACCATGTCGATGATCTGGGATGTGTAGATACTTGATGGTGCGGCCGCTAATGTAGCACTCAGGCATCCTCCAGAACTTGTCCCCATCCTGGGACGTGCAGATGACCTCCAGCAGGTTGATGTTCATCCAGTTGTCACAGCTCACCAGGTGCCCATTGTAGGTCTCCCCATTCTTCAGCTCCATCAGCATGGGATGATTCTGGGCAGTCTTCAGCAGCGACAAGGAGAGCATGGTACCGGCGGGGCCCGGGCTTGCCAGCCACTTCCCGCTGCTGCCATTCCCGTTCCTGATCTTTAACCATTCAGTATCCCCCTTTCTCTGTTCAAATGACTGCCTCTTGATTTATGTATAGGTTTATTCAGAAGCCGTCCACCCTCTCCTCCTGTTGAGTCTGTCTTAGTCTCGAAGCTCTACAGAAACCTTTCCATAAGGGGTGGCCCTGCTGGTAGGTAAACTACAAGTAGTGTGTTTCCAGAATCACGGAAACAAAGAGTCAGGCAAGTGGTGGATATTTGGGCTTTGTTGTTGTTGTTGTTATGTGCCGTGGAGTCGGTTCTGGCTCATAGTGACGCTGTACAAGGTTTCCAAGGCTGTAAATCTTTACGGGGGCAGAAAGCCTCATCTGATAGTTTCAAACTGCTGACCATGAGATTAGCTGCTTGATTTGTAACCACTACGCTAAGGGCACAAATTACACACCACAGTTCTCTACCATGATCTTTCAATTTGCACATAGAGAGACAGGTACATGTGTGTGCGCACATGTACATACACATGTACATGTGCACACACACACATGCACATGAATACTTCAAACTAAATATATATGTCACTACTCTGGCATGTAAACACAAATACTAAGTTAAGATCATAAAAACCATTGTAAAGACTGCTAATCACACTGAACATTTTTATGGTGGGCGGTACAAATAAATAGCATTTAACTCAGTGTGGAGCAGTTAGAAATTGCCCCCACAATATTGCAATATAATTTTAAAGGAGACATAATTTTAATTGCACAGGATCAAAATTTATACAAATATTCTTTTCCTTGTAATCCATGATATGTATAACTATTGATTTTTCCAAATGCTCCCTTTCTTCTCATAGTCTCTCAAAAGGACAATGCCTTCTATGCACTTTCTGAAACAAGGATTTTTCTCCTCCGTATGCATGGAAATGGAATAAGTCCTGATTTAGTAACCTGAAGTTATCCCTCTTTTATGAGGCATAAAACTCCTCCTTAGTAAACAAACAAGGCTAATGAAGTGTTCTCAGGAAAACTGGCACCAACAATGAAAAAGAAAACATCCGGAGCAGTCTGAAAACACCCATTAATGGGGGTGGGGGTGGGGAGCGATATAAAAGCCTTAGGAAGGAAAAAGACTTTTGGAGTCAGGTAAGGAGTTTTGTAAGTAGTCTCTGCTCTGCACGTCCCATAACATGAATTCTGACTGTTCTTCCACAGGCTGCTCTTCTGCATCTGTTACCAGGTCTTCCGATTCTCCATCTGCTTCAACCTGTTCTGTGGAAAAGACTTGTCTCCCTAGTGTCTGTGCTACATCCAGATGCCAGACCCCCACCTTCCGATCCAGGCCTCGTTTGTCATCCGGTTGCCTCACACCATGCTACTTTGCTGGGAGTTGTAATATTCCATGCTTGGTGGGGAACCCTGGTTGGTGTGAGGAGGGAGCATTCAACAGCAATGAGAAGGAGACAATGCAGTTCCTGAATGACAGGCTTGCCAACTATCTGGAGAGGGTCCGTGGCCTGGAAGAGGAGAATGCAGAGCTGGAATGCAGGATCCGAGAACAATGTGAACAGGAAATCCCACTGGTGTGTCCTGATTACCAATGCTACTTCAACACCATTGAAGATCTCCAACAAAAGGTCTGGCATCCCATTCTCCTAATTCCTCTGTTTTCCTAACCTGGCATTTGCTCTATTTTTACACTGTTATTGTTGGTTTTTAAATGTCGTCCAGTTGGTTCCTTCTTTGAGCAAACTGATACAGGGTTTCGGAGGAATAGCTGATGGGTTTGAACTGCCAACCTTGTGGTCCAGCGCTGATTCTACAGAGCCACTGGAAGAAGGTATTTTAGACATGAAAGAAAGTCAAGGGAGAGAGGCATTCCAAGAGCTGATGTGTTGTTGTTAAGTGCCATCGAGTTGGCGCCGACTCACAGTGAGGAGCAGCTGGTGAGTTTGAACCGCCGACCTTGTGGTTCAAACCGACCTTACGGTCCAGTGCTCATCACCCTACAGCAGCATGCCAGGAAAGCTAATGTCTTTACAAATAGTCAGTAAACGTCAGCACTAGTCCCAGTGCAGTAACTAATTAAATGAGTGACAATAAAAAAGTATGACTACATAGGTTTGATCTTTATCATTTATGAAATGAGGGAAAACTATATTATATCTAAAATTACTTTGTATGTAACATTGTTTATAGATAGGAGCTCTGGTAGCATAGTGGTTACGAATCGAGCTGCGAACCTTAAGGTCAGAGGTTCGAAACTACCAGCCGCTCCGTGGGAGAAAGATGAGGCTTTCTACTTCCGTAAGGATTTACACCCTCGGAAACCCTGTTACAGGGTCGCTATGGGTCGGAACCGACTCGACGGCACTTAACAACAACAACAACAACATGGTACAGAAAACAAAATATCATCTTTTTAATTATATAATTTCACCTGCTGGCCATTTTCTTTTTTAATGGATTAATTTCTATACAATCATAATAAAGACTACTTAGAGAGGAAAATGCAACTGGGTTCAAATGCCAAGCAATATTGCAAAATGTCTTATAGTAAAAAATAAATAAATAAATAAATAAGCCCTTTTATTTCTGTTTTGTTGTTAAATTGACACTGTTTCTTCATGAGTGACATCATTAATCAGAAGAACAGAATGAAAGCTGTTTTATATTTTCTTCTGGATATTTAAAGGATACTTACATAGCCATTCAATTAATAGATACCTAGATTTGTCCAAAAACTCCTTCATTACCTAATAATTTACTTCCCAGATCCTGTGCACAAAGGCAGAGAACTCGAGACTAGCTGTACAACTTGACAACTGCAAACTGGCTACCGATGACTTCAGGTCAAAGTAAGTTTCATTTGAATTTGGAAATAATTTATGATTTTCCCTCTCTGCTCATTTGTTCTGTCTTTTTCTGTCTCTTACGAGGCACACTTGGCACAAAAAATCTCTATGTCACACTTGTAAGCTAAAAGGACTCACCAAATGCAATTTTGTACTTATTTGGGATATGGGTAGCTTGAATCCCTGGGTCACTCATCACTGCCCCCCCAGGACCTGGCGCAGTGCCCAGCAGAGTAAGCACTGGGTGTCTCTTCTTCTGTGAAAGGTACGAAAATGAGCTGTCACTTCGCCAGCTGGTGGAGGCTGACATCAGTGGCCTGCACAAGATCCTGGGCGAGCTGACCCTGTGCAAATCTGATCTGGAGGCCCATGTGGAATCTCTGAAGGAAGATCTCCTTTGCCTTCAGAAAAGCCATGAGGAGGTGAGGATGGTGGCAGAATTAAAGTCATGGATGGCACGTTAAGTATAGAAATTGAAACTAGGTTGATACTGCTTACATTGGAACAAAATTACTCATGGCAACTCTTACTATTCAGTGTGTCTCTGAATGCTGTAGATGTGAAACAGCGCTAGCCAGCACCATATAGAGGAACGAAACTCATCACTTGTCATTGCTTTACTGGAGGAAGTGAGTAACTCCACAAAATGCTTCCTTTGAAGGCTTTAAGCCACTCCCTAACATCACAATGCTGCCTTTGAAGGCTTTAAGCCAAATCCCTAACATCAATCCTCTGGTAGCGTAGTGGTTATGAATTGGGCTGCGAACCACAAGGTCAGCAGTTCGAAACTACCAGCTGTTCCATGGAAGAAAGATGAGGCTTTCTGCTCCCGTAAAGATTTACGGCCTCAGAAACCCTATACAGTGTCGCTATGAGTCAGAACCGACTCCATGGCACATAACAGCATCAATCCAAAAGATACGAAAACAAGACTGTTAAATGCCAATTACAAAGTCCACTTCAAAAAGACAATAGCCATGAACTATTTCTACTTGATTTTAAATGCTCTATACTTTAGAGAAAAATTACAAGTTGAATAATGTAACAAAGAAACTTTCTCTTTGAGCACATGTTGATGATACTACTACCTGACATTTATTGAGAACTTGCTATATATTCAGGATTAAGTTATACCCAAGGAGCTCTGGTAGCGTAGTGGTTACGAATCGGGCTGCGAACCTTAAGGTCAGCGGTTCGAAACTACCAGCCGCTCCGCGGGAGAAAGATGAGGCTTTCTACTCCCGTAAAGATTTACACCCTCGGAAACCCTGTACAGGGTCGCTATGGGTCGGACCCGACTCGATGGCACTTAACAACAACAACATATGTATATTTACTCATATACTTCTGGAAAAGAGACGATTATTATATTTATTTCTCAGATGAAAAAAAACTGAGGCACTTATAAGTGGTAACAAGAGATTCAAGCCCATACTACCTGAATCTAAATTGCACACTTTTAGTCGCTGTTCCAAAAAAGAAAAGAAAAAGAAAAAACAAACAAACAAACAGAAATAGGATGCCATTGCGGTAGAATACTGTCAAATTAATTTTCCTCATCACTTTGTGACATTCCTTATCCCATTTCTACTTCCAGGAGGTCAACATACTTCGCGGACAGCTTGGTGACCAACTCAATGTGGAGCTAGAAACTGCCCCTACAATGGACCTCAACAGGGTCCTGGATGAGATGCGTTGTCAGTATGAAACGGTTCTTGCCAACAACCGCAGAGACGTTGAAGAATGGTTTGCCGTTCAGGTCAGCATCCACAGCTATCCAATAGCAGGTTTTTAGACTTCTGCCTCACTTGCTTTCTAACTGAGCCTGTGTTTCAGACGGAGGAGCTGAATCAGCAGCAGATGTGCAGCACGGAACAGTTGCAGGGCTGCCAGACGGAGATCTTAGAACTGAAACGCACAGCCAACACTCTGGAGATTGAGCTCCAAGCCCAACAAAACTTGGTGTGTAAGGAAGAGACAAAGCAGACCCTGAGATACTCTCCCTTTTATAATACAAAAGAGAGACTCACCGTTCATGTGGCAAAGGGTTGAATTTCCACTTGGCAGGGATTACATTTCCGTGCCCCTCCTGGTCACTGCTATATACCCAGCTAAAAGCAGGAATGACAGGTCAGTAGTTTGTACTGGTCTAGCAGGTGCCTGAGCCTCCCTCCTGGACTTGAGCATGATCCCACAGCACTTCCAGAGACAAGGAGAGAGAGAACAGGAGCACTGAGAGACAGAGGCCTCTACACCAAAGGCTCTAAGCATGCCAATGAGTTTCGGTTATCTTCTGATTCAGGCTAATTTTCCAGACTCACCAGCGTATCTCAAAGGAAGAATAGTTTTTCAGACTTTTCTCCCTACGACTATGCTAAATTGCCCAGGATCAATTCACACCTCAACCTAATCCTTCACTACACCCCAACCAAGCAAGGAACAAGAATAACATGCATCAAACATCCCTGTGTCCGCCATATTAGTGCTAGAGAGAATGACTAGATGAGTGTAGTAGCTGGGCATTCTTCCTGGGAGTTTCATGATGTTAATTTAATCCTTGCACAACAACCTGATGGAGTAAATACTTTCACTAACTCCATTTTGGTGGTGGTTGTGGTGTGCGATCGAGTCAGTTCTGACTCATAGCGACCCTGTGTAGGGTTTCTGAGACTATAAACATTAACGGGAGCAGAAAGCCTCATCTTTCTCCCACAGAGCAGCTGGTAGATACACACTGTTGACCTTGTGGTTAGCAGTCCAGATCATAATCCACTACACTACAAGGGTTCCTTCCATTTTACAGATAAGGAAAACCAAGGCTCAGATAGCAGGGAGTCATGCAACTTCAAGAGGCAAAGGTGAGGCCTGAATTCAGGTGGTTCAGTCCTAGAGACTCTTCTGGTAACCACACTGAGCTGACTCTCCCTTCTAGGAGCCCATGCTCAGCACTCCTCACAAATGTCAATCATCCTTCTTAAGCTACAGAACTATGTTATAGGTTATGGGAGTTGTAGTGATGGTAGTAAGGAGCTCTGGTAGTGTAGTGGTTACGAATCAGGCTGCGAACCTTAAGGTCAGCGGTTCGAAACTACCAGTCACTCCACGGGAGAAAGATGAGGCTTTTTACTCCCGTAAGGATTTACACCCTCGGAAACCCTGTACAGGGTCGCTATGGGTCGGAACCGACTCGACGGCACTTAACAACAACAGTGATGGTAGTAATAGCAAACATTTTGTGAACACTTAAATTTTTCCCAGATAAAATATTAATCCATTTAGTCCTCACAACCATCCTATGAGGTACATGCTCTGCATTCTCCATTTTGTTTCTGATACAAGCGTGGCTTAGAGGAGCTGAGTCATTTTCCCAAAGTCACAAACCTAGAAAAGAATTGAGCCAGGATTTAAATTAAACACAGGCAATCTAGGCCAGGAGACTGTGCTATAGCCGTTTGGACTTTGTTTTCTCTCCTGCAGACCGACTCTCTGGAATGCACTGTAGCAGAGACTGAGGCCCAGTACAGCTCCCAGCTGGCCCAGATGCAGTGCTTGATTGATAACGTGGAGGACCAGCTGGCCAACATCCGCTGTGACCTAGAACGGCAGAACCAGGAGTACGAGGTGCTGCTGGACACAAAAGCCAGGCTGGAATGTGAGATCAACACATACCGGGGCCTCCTCGAGAATGAAGATGACAGGCAAGTACCACAAAGTTAGTCGTAAGATCCCCCAGAGTCACAAAAGTTGAAAGTGAAGAGCTAATGTCAGAGAACCCTGTGGTCTCAAGGTTCTGGCTAAGGTCCAATCTCCAGAATGCGTTAAGAGATCTTCTGAAAAGCAGCTAAAGCGAATAAATAAGCACATGACAATAGAAATTTCCGCAAGATTCTAAAGTTCCAAAGCAGAATAAACATCATACTTAACATTCCATGCTGGGAGTCTCCCTCTGCTATCATTTTCAGGAACATAACTAATAAGGCATTTGAAAAATGAAGAAAACGTGTAAGATATGATTTAATAGGCAGGGTTGCAGTGAGCGAGAAGGGGCAATACTGGAGCCAGGAATCAAATAGGCTTAAATGTTATTTTGAAGTTTTCTTGAGAACGTTATTTGTAAGGGCAAATTTCGGCATGATTTTTTCCCCAGCTGACATTTGATCAAATGTGTCCTTGTTAAGCTTCGTTTGACATTGTTTTTCCCCAGAATGTCTCCTAACCCAGGTTCTACAACATGTACGTCAAGTGACCCCTGTGAGTCCTGCACAGCCTATGTGCTATGCACAGTTGAAACCTGCTGTGCATGAATGTTAACGCCAAGCTGGGCTGATGGAGGAGTCATGACGTCAGCCTCCTACACAGGAAATGGGGTTTCAACCCAGGACACTCAGGCCTGAAATCCATGTCGAGAAGATTTCCATATCCTAACGCTATTCTCTAGTGCCTGTCGTATATATTTCTGCTTTATCATTTCCTCTCCTGCCTGCTTATTTGTGGTATTCTAGGAATACATAAGATTTTCTTGCTCACCTCCAAATAAAGTGTATTTCATTCTTTTGGGATGGTAGATATAGCTTGGTAGTTTATTACAGTTGCTCTGGTAG